CGAAAAAATGCAGGTGCGGCAGTTGACCGAGAAAATGAATGAGATGATAAGCAAACTGGATAGAATTGAACGACAACCGGGATCGCCAACTAAAACAGCACATCCAGCAATGAACACTGCAGTATGCATTAAACGAGGAAATGGCGGGGTCCGGGACGGTCAGGTGAGCCATGTTCTATTTTCTGCGCTTGATATCTGTCGTAGTCTGGATTTTTTCTAAAAAGGGATCTGTCGCATCCCATTTTTTTTTTTTTTTTTTGAGATACACGTCGTTAGCCAGAACCAACCTTCTGTCGCGTGAGTGGTTGTTTTCTTCTTGCCAGCAAGCAGCACGTCTTGTCTACCACAAATACAGATGGAGTGCCCAATCGTTTGCACCGACATACAAGGGTGTTCCGAGCATTTTCGGCCCCGTCGTACTCACCAGCATTTGCGTTTCTATTTTTTATTTTTTGATGTAATAAGTGAATAGCTCCGTTTTGAAACAACTAGGAATTCAAAATTTCGTTTATTAATCGTTCTAAATTCAAGTTTTTCATAGGAGTATAATACGTAAAGTTGGTGTCGATTTAGTACCAATTCGTTCAGGAAGACGTTGAGGACGATCGCGAAATAACGGACCAGTCGGCAGCTGCGATGCGTAATCGTAAATGGGATTCTAAAATTAGCGAAGCTTGGCTTCGGGATCACTGCCTACGACGAGCAGAGAGGGATTTATTAGATGCTGACGAGGAGGCTTTCTGGAATGACGTTATTAGCAAATACTTGACGCCAATCATACATGATCTTCTAGAACAGAATCGTATCAGAAATGGGCTTGTTTTGCTCAGAAATAAGGTTGTGCTTCTAATAAATCCATGATATCAAGCCTAGAAATAAATGGCCTCGATAAGGTGCAACACGCATGTGGTAAACGCGTGGAGTGGCCTCAAAAAAAACGAACTGACTCATTGCTGTACTTTCATTTATTATGGTATTTCAGGTGTGCTCAGGATTCTTCATGGTCAATATTGTCTTTATCATTATTGTACTGCTTCTTCAAATGCAGAAAGATTGCATACACATTGAATGGCCTCTCGGACCACGCTACAATCACACCATTATTCCTTGCAACACCGATTCACGAGAGCCGATCTGGGTGGTCACTCGCTTACAGCTCGAACCTATTGGACTTGTTTTCTTATTGTTTTTCATGTCCATTCTTGTTATTCAGGTTCACGATCTCATTCTTACTAAAATTTTCATTTTGCGTTAACAGTTTTGACGTCCTGCCTTAAAACCGGCATTACCCGTGCTGTACGAGTTATACAACTGATTATAGTCTCTCTTTGATTTTTATGCGATTTTGCAGTGCAGCGTTAGAACACTGCAACAGTCAGCAGAAGTGCACATTGCGAGATGCTGTATGTAAATGTGTGTATGCGCGAGTGTGTATGATGTCGTGTGCGTTTGTTGGTCTGTTCGGATCTTCCAACTCAACAGCCTAGCAAACTTCGATGCTGTGATTTCACCAGTTGGTTACCTGACCAAGTGCGACGCCGGAACGTGATATCAACCTTTACGTGCATCTGCGCTTCAAGAATGGACGCGTGTTAATTTTAATGGAAAATTGCTGACTCGAAAACCAGAAGTGTTTGGAAACTGCCATTTTAAAGGATTGTTCTATGTCTACATACGACCAAATAATATATTTGCGTTCCACCTACGGATACGTGGGAACTTTGGCACAAAATTTACTAACTCTG